CTACTACTACTACTACTACTACTACTACTACTACTACTACTACTACTACTACTACTACTACTACTACTACTACTACTACTACTACTACTACTACTACTACTACTACTACTACTACTACTACTACTACTACTACTACTACTACTACTACTACTACTACTACTACTACTACTACTACTACTACTACTACTACTACTACTACTACTACTACTACTACTACTACTACTACTACTACTACTACTACTACTACTACTACTACTACTACTACTACTACTACTACTACTACTACTACTACTACTACTACTACTACTACTACTACTACTACTACTACTACTACTACTACTACTACTACTACTACTACTACTACTACTACTACTACTACTACTACTACTACTACTACTACTACTACTACTACTACTACTACTACTACTACTACTACTACTACTACTACTACTACTACTACTACTACTACTACTACTACTACTACTACTACTACTACTACTACTACTACTACTACTACTACTACTACTACTACTACTACTACTACTACTACTACTACTACTACTACTACTACTACTACTACTACTACTACTACTACTACTACTACTACTACTACTACTACTACTACTACTACTACTACTACTACTACTACTACTACTACTACTACTACTACTACTACTACTACTACTACTACTACTACTACTACTACTACTACTACTACTACTACTACTACTACTACTACTACTACTACTACTACTACTACTACTACTACTACTACTACTACTACTACTACTACTACTACTACTACTACTACTACTACTACTACTACTACTACTACTACTACTACTACTACTACTACTACTACTACTACTACTCTACTACTACTACTACTACTACTACTACTACTACTACTACTACTACTACTACTACTACTACTACTACTACTACTACTACTACTACTACTACTACTACTACTACTACTACTACTACTACTACTACTACTACTACTACTACTACTACTACTACTACTACTACTACTACTACTACTACTACTACTACTACTACTACTACTACTACTACTACTACTACTACTACTACTACTACTACTACTACTACTACTACTACTACTACTACTACTACTACTACTACTACTACTACTACTACTACTACTACTACTACTACTACTACTACTACTACTACTACTACTACTACTACTACTACTACTACTACTACTACTACTACTACTACTACTACTACTACTACTACTACTACTACTACTACTACTACTACTACTACTACTACTACTACTACTACTACTACTACTACTACTACTACTACTACTACTACTACTACTACTACTACTACTACTACTACTACTACTACTACTACTACTACTACTACTACTACTACTACTACTACTACTACTACTACTACTACTACTACTACTACTACTACTACTACTACTACTACTACTACTACTACTACTACTACTACTACTACTACTACTACTACTACTACTACTACTACTACTACTACTACTACTACTACTACTACTACTACTACTACTACTACTACTACTACTACTACTACTACTACTACTACTACTACTACTACTACTACTACTACTACTACTACTACTACTACTACTACTACTACTACTACTACTACTACTACTACTACTACTACTACTACTACTACTACTACTACTACTACTACTACTACTACTACTACTACTACTACTACTACTACTACTACTACTACTACTACTACTACTACTACTACTACTACTACTACTACTACTACTACTACTACTACTACTACTACTACTACTACTACTACTACTACTACTACTACTACTACTACTACTACTACTACTACTACTACTACTACTACTACTACTACTACTACTACTACTACTACTACTACTACTACTACTACTACTACTACTACTACTACTACTACTACTACTACTACTACTACTACTACTACTACTACTACTACTACTACTACTACTACTACTACTACTACTACTACTACTACTACTACTACTACTACTACTACTACTACTACTACTACTACTACTACTACTACTACTACTACTACTACTACTACTACTACTACTACTACTACTACTACTACTACTACTACTACTACTACTACTACTACTACTACTACTACTACTACTACTACTACTACTACTACTACTACTACTACTACTACTACTACTACTACTACTACTACTACTACTACTACTACTACTACTACTACTACTACTACTACTACTACTACTACTACTACTACTACTACTACTACTACTACTACTACTACTACTACTACTACTACTACTACTACTACTACTACTACTACTACTACTACTACTACTACTACTACTACTACTACTACTACTACTACTACTACTACTACTACTACTACTACTACTACTACTACTACTACTACTACTACTACTACTACTACTACTACTACTACTACTACTACTACTACTACTACTACTACTACTACTACTACTACTACTACTACTACTACTACTACTACTACTACTACTACTACTACTACTACTACTACTACTACTACTACTACTACTACTACTACTACTACTACTACTACTACTACTACTACTACTACTACTACTACTACTACTACTACTACTACTACTACTACTACTACTACTACTACTACTACTACTACTACTACTACTACTACTACTACTACTACTACTACTACTACTACTACTACTACTACTACTACTACTACTACTACTACTACTACTACTACTACTACTACTACTACTACTACTACTACTACTACTACTACTACTACTACTACTACTACTACTACTACTACTACTACTACTACTACTACTACTACTACTACTACTACTACTACTACTACTACTACTACTACTACTACTACTACTACTACTACTACTACTACTACTACTACTACTACTACTACTACTACTACTACTACTACTACTACTACTACTACTACTACTACTACTACTACTACTACTACTACTACTACTACTACTACTACTACTACTACTACTACTACTACTATGGAAGCAATGGCTATCACGCTGCTGTAACCGGTTATGCAAGCTAAGATCGCTCGTACAAGCGCTCACGCTGTCTTGCCAGTAACGAATAACGCTGTCCGTATCTACCTTTGGCCTAGAACAAACTGAGTTTTGACGCCAAATCAATCATTTCCTTCTTGTTATATTTGCCTTTCAGTTTTTGGGGTGTGAAAGCGCGTGATGTTTACCACCTGAATGCATTCACTGAGCTATCGATTGGCTCGTTGACCTTCCATTGAACTGCGACCTAACCATTCATCACTGCAACTTGAGATAGCTTCTCGTGTTGTATCGAGTTTTTATAAGCGTAAATGCCTGAGAATAATTAACGAAGAGACATCTCTTCACAGCAACACCTCTGCTAAAATTGCAAATGTTTTAATTACGCTGTACAACAACACTGATAACAAGAATGATGTAGTATGTTTCCAGAAGTACTACCTGAGCTGGTTGCAAATATGCAAACCAAAGGTTTTTATCACGTCTGTTTTGCTCTTAATTCTAGTTTTTCATTTCAGCTATGCAGAGCATTTTACGCATCGAATGTTTGCCTGTGATTGGCTCCCTGTAGTTGTGGAAAAGGAGTCCTCTTGGAAATGGTAACCACCTGATACTGAAAGTTGATTGAGAGCTGTGTTTCCTTAATTGATATCTTGATCATGGCTGAAAAATGTTGCCGTGTCAATGACCGAGATCATTTTTGTTACGTCTGTGGATAGTTTACTACAAAGTCGGGGTGCAGACCCTTCACTATTGAAGTCTGCCTACTACGAAAACTTCAGGATGAAAATGGGAGATCAGGATAAGAAGTGGACACCGCGTATAGTTTGTGTGTCGTGCAATCTCCATCTGACTCAGTGGCTCAAAGCCAAAGGCAAGATGTCTTTTGCAATCCTCATAGTTTGCAGGGAGCCGAAGGATAACACGACAGACTGTTGCTTCTGCCTAACCAGTGTCATCGGAATCTCCAACAGAAATAAAGACGAAATTCATTACCCTGATCTTCTAGTAGCTATTCGATCTGTTCCTGACGATGATACCTTACCCATTCCAATGCCTCCAGTAAACATGTCACTGACGAGGAGTGGTGATTCCGTATCGTCACCATCCCCTGATTCTGACATCTGTGAAAAGGTTAAAGTTAATGATGTCCATCTAGATAATATTGAATAATCACAGCTGAATGACTTGGTACGTGACTTGGGAAGGCCTAAAGACAAGGTGGAGTTGTTGGAATGTCAGCTGCAGCAGTAGGATTTACTTGCCAATGACCCAACACCAAACACACCTCAAACAGACAGTCCGATTAGGAGACCACAGTAGACACGCCTCGGTACCGACCGCGAACCATGTCCTGTAACGTCAAGAGCAAAGCATAAGGCGCGTCACGTGGACACCGGGCTGGAAGGCGAGTCGGACCGACGGCATCGAGTTTGGCCGTCAGTGACTTCATTTCTCGCGGGCAGGTTAACTTTTGTCCACGTCGGACCTTGCGCCACCCTAAATCTAGTAAAAGAAACAAAGCTCACCTCGATAAGCAGTGGCCGGGCATACGTAGTCCGTGCCTAAGACAACGCAACTTACTCAGTGCTATATGTTGTTCTAAAGAACTAGCATAGCTATCACCACCTAGCACTCGCCCACGCATATTATCGTTGCGGACACGATGATGCCATCCGACACCAGCAATGCATCGCAAGCAACGATGATCGAAGGCTTGAAAGCCACCTTGGTCCTTGAATCGAATGGGCCAAGTTTCACTCTCATAGAGTGAGACGGCCCTCAGTAGGGCCTTGAAATTACGGACTTTTAGGAAGAGGGAAACTCCTTTCTGACGCCACAGATGTCGCAGATTCAAGGAGGCAAGTGGGATAAAAACACACCGTGAAAACAGAAACGCGCCAACCTGCTTCGTTGTTTGCTGTCGTGAACGCACTGAGACAACAACCAGGTCGACCAGATCCGCAGTGGACATCAAATGTGTTCCACAACATAGTTCTGCAGTGGCCGACAAAGCGGATGCCGAAGGCCAATCACCAATGCGTACCGCTCTGACAATGTTCGGATAATTCACCCATGGAAATCTTCGAATTCGATGATCCTAGAGCGAGAGGCAAAGATGCGCGAATGGTGAGAGGTATGAGTGTAGTATAACAAAGACACCGCCATAAACTGTCACGCAGTATATATTAATAGGTTTCGCCACTAAAACCACAGGTAAGATGATGAATGTGGCACATTAATGGGGGGAGTAGTGGGTTGCAGGACATACCATCCGTATGTAAACAGTAGAAAATATGATTAAAAAACTACTCGAATGGATTTAAGTGGAAGGCCGCATGTACGTGGATCAAACGTAAGCCTCGGATAGGGGAAATGCATTCAAGACATCACAGTTTACCGTCGATTGAGCGTGATCTTCCTCAATGGCAAGTCACAAATCGTTGGGGAGACAGCGCTCTAAGTAATAAGGCCGGAGGAAATGTGAGTACAATGAGTGTTGATGCAGGCACCGACAAGAAACCCGAGCAACTATCATGGCAAAGAAGGCAACTGTGAGGTTTTGTCGAGAAGTTAGTTATCGTACCGATAAGAGGAAAAGACTTCTTCAGATATGAACTGACAAGTCATCCTATCGGGAACAGGATTCCTACCTATCAACTCTTGCGCGGTTTGGCTTTATGTAGGTTGAAAAACCTAATACACCAGGCTTGCATTCACTGTGATTCCAGTGAAGGCAGACAGTCATTCTGGCAAAAAGCTCTAGCAGATTCGCAAGCAAGCACATGGTAACAGGACGCGGATGCGGCGCGTCTTCGAATCCGCATGGGGGTGGGCGTCCTCGCGATTTACTCAGCCCGCGTGAGACTAGAGGCGGTCGCATGGCAACAAAGCGCCAATGCAGTGTACAGCTGACAACTAAGTTAATTAATTTAACAGAAAGAGGGCAAAAGTTTGCGTTTCTGCTTACCATTTAAGCTGGCAGTAAGCAAAAGGGAAGAATAAGAAAGCCGGAATAGAAAAGACGTCACTGACTGACGACATGAAACAGCAAACCAGTTACTGGTTCGCTTTGCTACCGATTCGGCCGTTCCGCTTGACTGATTGTGATACAAGCCGCTTTGTCGGTGCATATGGTTGCGAAAACTTTGAACACAGCATTCGGAAACCGACTGCCATGGTCGAAAACCAGTTTAGATCCGGTATCCGGTGGTGGAAGAATTGACATCGCAGTTAGTTGAGAAGTATCTATGCGGTGGTCGGTCGATGGCCGAGGGGTCTGCACGTCTGGTTCGAAGCAGCGTAGGGGCGGGTGTCCTCGAGGTATACTCAGCCCGCGCGTGACAGCGAAGCGCAGTTACGGCGTGTAGATGACGATCACCACCAATATCACTGTAAAGTCCAAAAAGAACTTTGATGTATCCCCAATCTGGATTGCTTACTTGAGGACACGGTATCTCTATTCCCAAATTATTATGCTCATGTACATTGCTTTATTCTGTGTGTTACAATCGGTTACCATATTGTACACTTATCCTTTTCACTCTCGATCATTGATATATCCTTGACGTTTCAAGGTCATTCATAGTATTCTGTTATTGTTACACGGCACAAATACCCGCAAGCTGCCGCACGCTTTACAATTTCTGTCCTCACACTACGATTGCAAACCTATTCGTAACTCATGTGCTGTATATATAATATGCCTTATACAACCACGATTACAGGATAATTCGTGTTATTCTTTCGCCCAGACCGTGCGTTAAGCCTAGGTTTATTTGTTTGCAGTTTCTAGTTAAAGTTCCGTACAATGTACTTAGCGTAGGCTTCGTATCGTTGGTATATAAGCTGAATAGTGCAATCATGTCTTTTTCTGGTGATTCTCTTGATGATGTTGACGCTACTGATGCTGAGAAGCTTCAAAGAGCTGAATCCCGTATTCGTCTGTTGGAGTGGGCTTTAACGAGCATGCGCATGCTGCAGGCGATGAACGGTTGATGTTAAGGAGTACCGCGAACCTGAATTTGAGTTGGATGCGCTGATTAGTGAACGATCGCGAGTTTTTCCGGCCGACGCTTGTGAACTCTCGCACGAAGTTGCCATCTGCTCGTCGTTTTTGAAGCTAGTTAAGAGGGGTCTGAACCTTCCGTCCGTAACTCAATTTGTCTGTCGTCGGCATCAGTTGGCGCCCGAATTCGGTCCCAATCAGGGGCGTTTTTCTCCGGCCTGCAAGCTGACAGTAACCCGTGTCCGGAACGCAAATCCAGCAGTTAAAGCCAACACGTCATCCCGTCTTCCAAAACGCGAACTGATCATTTTCGATGGAGATATTGTCCGCCATTGGATATTTATGCGATGCTTCAAAGCCAATGTTTCCAAAACTACTTCCGATCCAACTATCAGGCTTTCATATCTGATACAGTACTGTTGTGGTGAAGCCAGAGGAGTTATCGGAAGTTGCTTAATACTCGACCCTCGTGAAGGTTTTGAAGAAGCAATGAACATTTTGCGCAGACGCTTCGGACGGCCCCACATGATTGCTTGGACTCACATTAATGCTCTAACTGATGGTCCAATGATTTCGCAGCTCTTTCTCGTTTAGCTGTGGAGCTGCGTTCATGATACTTGACGTTGAAATAATTGAGGTATGAACCCGATTTGAACGCGTCCAGAACAATCAGCTCTATCATCAGGAGGCTGCCCAACCATCTGCAATTCAAGTGAGCCGAGCATGCAGCCAGAGTTCTGCGCACCGGAAGAGGACCGAACTTCATTGATTTGACAGATTTCGTGGATGAAACCGCAGACGTCGTCAATACTTACTTGTCCTTTGCCGCACGTCCCTGCGAACCACCGACCAGCACCGATAGAGGCAGAAGCTTAAACCCTCGGGGATATGCCGCTTGCCTAAACATCGCAGCTTCATCAGAACGAAATTTCCTTTGAACGACGTCACTATTTAGATCAGTGCGATGATTTCCGAAAGTTAACCTCAACGAACGACTTGAATTCTGTCGCGCCCATAGACTATGTCAGCTCTGTCTCAAACCGAATCATGACCTACCAAGTTGTCGATCACGAAGGTGTTGTGGGTCGAACAATTGTAATCTGTTGCACCACCCGCTACTCCACGCTGAACGAAGCAACTTCGGAACACCAAACACTCTCTCACGCACGTCAAACATCCAGTTGTATTGCTTGGTTTGTCGCCTGTGTTTGTTTCTGGTCCTGCTGACATGATTCGTACATTAGCCTTAATAGATAATGGATCGGATACTTCACAGATTGATTCAACATTACTAAAGGTATCGGGGATCAAGGGTGTATGACGACACTTAACAATAGCACTGTGGCTGGCCGATATCCAATGGAGTCCCAGTTGGTTAGTGCAACAGTTCAGTCTATAGGTGGTGATGAGGCGGTCCAACTGGATTCAACTAGGTCAGTCAGTCGTCTCCCTGAAAAACTTGGAACGAGAAACAGGAACAACGATTTCGACAGATGGTCCCACCTCTCTGATCTACGGTTACCAGAGCTGAAAAGAAGGGTTGAACTTTTGATTGGTTGCGATAACCCTACACTGGGCATTAGATCAGAGACGCGGGATCCTGATGATCCGTATGCTGTTAAAACTCCATTGGGCTGGATCGTAATGGGACAGAACAAACAGCACGAGACTATGAGGGATCAATCCACATCACTGAGTTGATCGAACATGGAGGATCAACTCACTTCGCTGCGATACCACTGATCTTCATCAACTACTAGAGCAAATGTATGAAAGGGCATCTGACGGGTTAGATAGTCCACGACTAGCCATGTCTGTGAACGACGGACGCGCGTTAAAACAAATGGAAGCCAGGAGACCTCGGTTACCAGATAACCGGCAATCCACACTGATGAGGCTTGTCATGTTGAAGTATGCCGAACTGCACCAAGCATACACCCAGGCCGTGGAAGAGTATATATTTAAAGGATATGCTGAATTCGCTCCATTACAGGAACAGCAAATTAAAGGGGAAATCTGGTACATACCCCACAACTCAGTATCGCATCCACATAAGCCCGGTAAAGAGTGGGTGGTCTTCGAATGTCAAGCTTCATACCGTGGAACTTCCCTCAATCAACTTCTACCTGGTCGCGATATGTCAAACAGTCTAGTACGGAAGCTTTGGCGGTTCAGGTTCCACCCAATTGCCGTCGCGTCCAACATTGAAGCAATGTTTCATCAGGTCAAGGTGCCTATTAAAGAACGGAATGGTTTGAGGTTCCTGTGGTGGAAGAACGGTAATCTTTGTTCACACCATATTGAATACCGCATGAGTGTACATCCGTTTGGCGCTACTTCGTCAACCAGCTGTGCTAACTTTGAATTACGACAAGCTATCGTTGTTAGTTATTGTGAATCCCAAACAAAGATTAAAGAAGTAGCAGAGAACTGCTTTTATGTCGACGATTGTTTATTTAATGTCGATTCCATTCACGCAGCAACTGAACTCGTTATACACATTACCCGTATTCTGTCCGACGGAGGATTTCATTTGACGAAATGGATCATCAATCGAAAGGTTATCGCGCATTTAGCTGACAGCGAACTGAAGGTTCCCGGAATAAGATATTCGACTGAGGACGATTGTGTTACAACTGCGCTTGGTTTAAACTGGAACGTCCCCCAGGACCACCTAACTTTTAAGCTGGAAAGTTTTAATAAACCGTTGACCCGAAAAGCCATCCTCTCGTTTGTAGCTTCCGTCTCTGATCCTCTCGGCCTCATTGCTCCCGTGCTACTTCCAGCAAAAGTACTGTTACAGAGTTTCGTAAAAGCGAGGCTGGATTGGAATGAGCCTCCTTCCGCAGAAGATCAGCAAGCTTGGAGCAAATGGTCATCAAACATCAATGGTCTGAACAGCTTGTCAGTTGAATGTGGTATTAATCCATTCGGATGCAGTGTATCTTCTGTGCAGTTGCATTGTTTTTTCGGATGCGTCTGAGGCTGGTTACGATGCTGCTCTATATTTACATTGCGAGATGGATGAAAACAAAGTTAGTAGCTTCGTAATTACTAGTAAATCACGTGTCAGTCCCAGTAGAACCGTCATCAGCATCATAATCGTGCACCTAAGCGGTGGCGGAAGCTCGTGGAACGGTTTCGAAATAATTTTTGCATTGATTCATCGTGATTAGGTAGCCACAGTCTGTTGGCACAGAACGAACCAACGGACGTCTTTTGCCATGGTCCATTTGGAACATCATGTAACATCAGTTCTCTGTTTATAAGCGGAGTGCTGTGGAAACGACAGACATCGCCGTAGGATTCCTATACGGAGACAGAAAAGTAATACTCTTGCACTGCAAATGATACGGTTAAAGTCTATGTCACCTTGGGGAGCATGTTCTATCATACATCAATAGAGTGATGACTGGATGAACCTGGACGACAAGCCAACATAAATAGTAGGTTCGTTCCGAAAATCAAAACAGGGTGACAATTCCATCGGAAACTGATCGTTCGCCCTCGGTTACCCGTGAAAAATCACGGCCTACAACGCTCCTACGCGTTCAGCCCTAATTTCATTTAAGCGATCACCCGTTAGCATCAGTTGTGCCAGGCTAGCAGCGCCAATCTCTTCCTGTTTATGTCTGCCGTTGGTCAAGTGGAATGAAAATCCTCACTTCCAATTTGATGTCAGCTGGTATCTCCAGACTGCCGGGTTGAGCTCCCAAGGACGATGAAGACGTTCGGTTTGCTGCAGTTGTAGACGGCGAAGAAAAGATCTCAAGGGTGTTTGTGTCGTGAGTTTCTTTGTTCCTCTCCTTCCCGCTTAGCTTCCCCTGCCAACCACGGATCTCGTATTGCACGCTTTGTATTTCTCGTTTTTCTTAGTTTTTTGTATTCTGTACTGTTATTGTATCTTGGTTTTGCCTACATCTTACGGCACAAGAGTTGAAGCGAGTTTCACACCTTCAGCTAGCGTATAATTATAATGATGATGAGGAGGGTATCGGTGAAGACCATCACCGTGCTCAGAGTACAAGTACACAGGTTACACCATGATGATCCTCAAGCACTTCGGATAAGATCCCTGGAAACTTTCAAACCACCAAACAGCAGAAATAACCAAAAAATTCCTGAAATATGTAGGGGAAGTTATCAGGACACTGAATTCTCCGTCTAAAATTACGTGTGGGTGGCAAACCGACTTTCGTGAAATATTTAGCTCCGTCCAAAACGCAGGTGAGCATCTTCTGAACTCTTAGTATTTAGCGTTTCGGGCGAAGGATTCTAGTAAGTGACCAAAACGGATGAGCGCCGAGGCACGGATATACAACGTCACCAGCCGGTTACGTGGGTGGCTGACGAAAACCTTTCGTCATCGATGGCATGGTTGCTATGTAGCCGGCGTAAACTCACGGCGTAAAATCACTCCATCAGCGTCGTCGTGAACGAGGCTGTGATTAGCTGGGCTTGTAGGCAGCCAGATATAGGGGAAGGCAAGTGAGTGCGGACGTAGGTGGAGGGGTGATCACTAAGCAGCCGAACGACGTATAATCGGATTGGGAAGCCCAAAATGAGGATGTATGTGACCTATAAATATAGCCAGTAATCAGTCCTCAATATACTCCGGTCTGGATAGTCATTTCTTCTGTTTTCCGCCGAATGGGTTGGACGGGGCACCAGGCAAACAACAGAGCCAAGGTAGCGTTACAACAGGCCCTATTCAGCGGTTTGAGATCAATGAATGCTCACAATTCACCAGTCTCCTTGATAATGCTTGCGACCTGACTAATTCAGTTTGTCGGTTAGTCAATCCTAGCGATCACACCCAACTTCATCAACTTGTTCGATTAGGCGGAAAATTTGAACGGAACCCTATTAGCCGTTAACACGCAGCTGGTCATGGCGAGGCACCTAGCGACAGGCGATTAGTACCCTCAACCCATGCTTGAACAGGGAATGATAAAGGTTTTCTAACATCACTGTCAAATTGACAATTATGTGAATAAGCCAGGTAGACAACCAGATGTGGAAGAAAAACAGCAAACCTCCGCTACGGCACTCCATGGTAGTGAAACAACAGATACGGGTAATCCATCTTCGATGATTTTGCGACAAAAGGATTCAAGTCGCTTGATAATTCCATGCAGAGATTCTGTGTCGTTGGTGCTGGCGCTGGCGCTGGGGTCCACAATGGCGGCATCCACAACGAATCGATCCGGGTGGACGGAACCACCATGAAATTGAACGGTGGCGGACAGACCGCGAGATCGGAGTTCGTGAGCGTACACATCCAAAGCCCATGTGAACAAATGCTGGCCGGTGTGATGTTGCATTAACTGCAATCGACGTTCCTATAATTCAGAACAATGGCAAAAGTTCAGAAGAACGTTTAATAGGTAAACTGAATAAACGGAGACAAGTATAAGAAAACCGATAGGATGTAGTTACAATGATAGACTGGCGGACGGAAAAGAAGTCAAAACTAGCGCATAAGCCCCAATGTAGGACAGTCTCCTACAGGTACTACGATTCGTGAGTCAGAAGGCAGGAAATTGCGTGACTCCCTATCGCAGACGCAGAAATAGTGCGGTGAGCTCGTCCGAAGTCGGTAATCCAGGCTGCCTGGACTGAGTAGTAGGATAACTGAGACCCACACAAAAGACAGACATGCATCCGTAGGACACCCGCTTAGTTAGCCAGTAGGTAAGAAATTCAACTAAGCAAAGCAAGGTGATCGGCAAAACAATCAACGAATACTACAACATGTCCATGTTTTCTGGACTCGTAACTGGAAGAGAAGAAACGCTTTTCACTGATAGTACACAAGGCACAGAGTAGGAAATTGGATTCAGATCGGAATGGCAGGAGACATAGCAGCCAGATGTTGTACACGAGAGCAGAGACCGAAGAAGAACCGTGTGACCACGCAGGACTGCACCGAGATCCAAAAAAGACTGACCAAAAATACAAGTTCAACAAAGGACTCGGCTGTAAGCAAAATATGACTCTGCATATTCACATTTACAACAAAAAAGTACAGCGTAATAGATAAACTATAGAAAGTCCGATATGTTTGGATTGGTATCCGTAATCCGGGTATGATCGAACATTAAATTCCGCACATTTGTGCGCTTTGATAAAAGCCGGAGCAATTCTAACTGTTGTCCGGAGATATAATTGGCAGTGTCTTTCAAGGTGAACGCGCACACGATTGCACCAACGCTTAGAGCGCAAATACCTGCGCGTGGAAGCGAGAGACTTCACATCACCCTTCACTGTGTACACATATGACATGCAGGGCAGCCCAGATACTGGGCCTGCCAATCCCAAATTCCACGGCGCTGCAGGTAGTGGATGGATAAGGCACAGACAGACCACAGTTGAACGATCGACAGGTTCTGGTCTCAGTGCGGCCGTCAGAATTCGTTAGTGGGGTAAGATAAGCGGTGCCATTCTTGTCAGTTTTCCGTTGATCGTTGTTTCAGAATTGGAACACGAGCTTACGCCCCCGTCGGTGACGTTCCCTTAACCTGAATCCCGTTACGTGCCTGATGATCAGAGCGTTCTTATTATTCAGTTGCAGGACCAGCGCGAATTCAACGCTGTAGAAACTGCGCCACGATACAGCACTCTTAACGCTGGAATGTGGCCCGTCAACGATTGTTAAGTACTTAAATTGGTGAATAAGTTCCAAAAAACTGGGAGTGTGTGCAGTGCCAGAAAATCCGAGCTGCGTCGCGTCAGGACGGATGTTTTTCCAGCTTGCATTGTTGTTCGTGAAGTATCTAAAAGGCAAGACCTAGCATACGTGGAATTACTCAGCATTGTGACACTATCCAATACGCTATTTATAGGATTTTAAATGAAAGAAATTGCCAAGGTTACAGGCACCACATGCTCAGAAATTGAAGCCAAACACTCCAGATGAACGGAATGCCTTTTGCAGTTGGTTTTTGAACGACATGAGCTTTCACACCGCGATTTTTTTAAACATGGAAATGAGAAACAGCACTTCGGGGCTAGATCTAATAGATGCCGACAAACGTCGTCACGTATTTAGCATAGTGCAAAGCACATGGTCTGGGCTAAGTCGTTAGCAAACTACGGTCTCTAAGAGAAAATAGCGCTCCGGGAGTCGACAAGATCAGACCCAAAGTTCTTAAAACTCTTGCTCCCACCATAGCAGCACACCTCGCAAGCTTTTTCCAAAGTCTACTCAATTCCCAAACACTTCCGTCTGAGTGGAAAAGCGGGATAGTCACTCCGATATACAAAGGAGGTAAGCGATCGGATCCTGCCAACTACCGACCCATTACTCTCCTCCCTGTGTTATCAAAAGTAATGGAATCGTTAGTTGCAGATGAAATTACACGATATTTTGAGAGTCTGAAGCTAATTTCTCACCTCCAACACGGCTTTAGGCGCAAACGATCTTGCCTCACAAATCTGCTTCTTGCTCGGGATTCATGGACCAAAGCACTTGATGAAGGATCTCCCCTTGATGTGATTTACCTAGACTTTTCGAAGGCATTCGACAGAGTCAATCACTTAGCTCTGCTTCATAAGCTTCGTGCCTACGGTATCCATGGTTCCCTACTCACCTGGCTAGCAGCATATTTGCATGACAGAACGATCAAGGTCAGAGTCGCCGATGCCCTCTCGGAAACCCTCTGCATCTCCAGCGGTGTTCCTCAAGGATCCGTCCTTGGTCCCCTCCTTTTTCTGGTCTACATTAACGACCTCCCGGATAATATTCAATCCTCGATGCAAATTTTTGCAGATGACGCAAAAATCTGGAGAGTTATTCGCTCAACATCAGACTGTGCCCTCCTCCAGAATGATTTGGATAGAATCAACAAATGGGCAGATATAAATCACCTCCCCCTGAATGCTGCCAAGTGTCACCTACTGTCATTGCGCAGCAATCTTGCCAACACGTACCTCTTGGGGCAGTACGCTTTACGGCGCGTGACCACAGAAAAAGACTTAGGTATCATTGTGCAAGAAAGTCTGGGGAATTCGCTCCAATGTTCCAAAGCAGCGAACGTGGCGAACATGAACCTGAGACTTTTGAGGCGAGCTTTTGGTGTTTTTGAACGACGGCTGGTACCCATGCTTGTCAACTCCTATATCCGTCCCCACGTCGAATATGCCGTCCAGGCTTGGTGCCCATGGTTAAAACGAGACATTCATCTCTTAGAGCAGCCCCAACGAAGAGCTACCAAGGCAACACGCGGATTATCTGGTCTCAATTATGAAGTGCGTCTCAGTTTAATCGGAATGTTTTCCTCCGAATACCGACGACTACGCGGAGATCTCATTCTCGCATACCGGATATTAACGGAAAGCGATCACCCGTGCAAATCGCTGCTCACCCTAGCCTCATATAAGCGATCGAGAGGTCATAACCTCAAGTTGATAATCCAACACTCCCGATTAGACTGTAGAAAATATTTTTACTCTCTTAGAATCTGTTCACAATGGAATGACTTGCCAACGCATGTGGTAAACGCTCCGAACATTACAGCCTTCAAACAATTGTTAGACATTCATCTGAGTGACAAACAACACATTGTGGTGTAATGTACCAGGTTTAGACTATTGGCATTTCAGTTCCATGTCGGAATCTAATGATTTGTACTTATTTTGCATTTACCATCCTATGGGTCTTGTAAAGCCAATGCTTTTTATCCCATCATACACTATTGAACTATTGAACTGGCCAGAAAATTGTTGGACTATTTTTCCTCTCCAGGAATGTGACCAGGAAGTTGTTTTATATTACTCAACCCTTACTTCGTGGTATAAGGGAATGCTCCAGACTTGCGTACTTCCACAGCTGGAGGTTGACAAAGTGTTCAACAGAACTTGGTGGCAACAGGATGGTGCATCGGCATATTAATCTCAATCGGTGCGTGAATATCTAAGCGAGAAAGTAGGCCAACGCTGGATCGGTCGCGGAAGACTAATTGATTGGCCCGCACGGTCACTTGCTGGAATTTTTCTACGGGACTATTTGAATAGAAGGGTTTACAAAAACAGGCCGAATCCCCTAGAGCAAGTGAAACGTAATATTGTGAATGAATGTCACGCGATGACCACCGAGACGTTGGAGAAAGTATTCCAACTGCATCAAGCGATTTCTTTAGTGCAAGCAGAATTATGGTGGACAGTAGCAAGATCTTAATCACTGATATCCATGTCCGTTTAACTCTTTTAATGTATGTATCCTCGATTACAAATGAAGTGAAGACAAAATCAGTCCATGGGCGAATGGTGGCAATAGGAGGTCGGGGCATTGGCTGCTTCAACAGCGCTATGCGCCATTCCGACTGCCGTGATAAGAGGGATACTATACTTAACTGTTCAAACGCTGTTAACATACTGGTAAAGGGGAATTTACTGTGGAAAATTTTAAAAACTAGCAGCGATTCGGAAAGCAGAGTAGAATGTGTTCAGCAACAGATGTCATCAGTCGAACGACGGAATGATGGCGATCGCGCAAAACTGCAAGTGACCGGTGTCGCTGTACCGGAATATAAAACCAGCCACTGTAAAGACAGTTAACAGGTGATTAGAATGATACAGTTCTACACGAGTGTTCGGTTTCTGTTGACTAGCATTTATCCAACCCCATTAATAGAGCTGATGGACGGACATGGTCATTTAGGCTTTATGAGCGGTAACATATCCCATCAATGCGGACACATCAGTCAAGGTAGACCCCAACAATGCTCCGCAAGCTACGATGTTCGAAGGCTTGGAAAACCCTCAGATTCTCCGATTTCTGGGAGTTATTTGTGATGACGCACTTTGGAACAAGTTTCGTTGTTCACCGTAGAGGTATTGATAAAGATCAAAGGAAAGAAAGAAGGCATCAGCAATACGCCGATACACAGTACGGACGCTTCGTCGCCGCGCAACTACCACCGGTCGCACGTAGGCTAAGGACACTGCGATGGTCGTCTAGCACCTACGAAGGTTCGTACCCGAGCCGCCAGATTACAAAACAAGCTCGTTATTTATAAATTACAGCCCGGTCAAAGGAACCCCTTTTCTGTCGCATTGGACGTGATTGTCTGATGAAGACGCTTCCATCATTACACTAAGCGAACTAAATTTCACGCACACGCGTCCACTTATGGCAACGTTAGGTGCTTATTGTTCAATAGTCTACAACTCCTTTTTGTTAATAAGCAAAGGGTTAAAGAGTGGTTAGTGGTTTTGCTAAAGCATTTGCATTGTGAAATTGCATAGTGCATTACGAAGATGACGAACTGCCTGAGATTACCATGTCCCCCCATGAGACCCGAGATAAGTTCGCTTGTATGGTTCAACTCCAGCAGCTTCC